AAAAACCTGCGTGTATACGTGAGATATTCTCTAGTTATTTTATATATGAATGTTGCTATGCTGTACACTATTTAATTGAACCGTTAATTTAGTTTAGTAAATGTTTTACGTCTAAATTTCAACTAAATGTGTATATGTTAAAACTTGATATCATTTGTTTATTGTGGAAGTGACATCTAAGCAAAAATGGCCTCTCAATGCTTCTCCTTTAATATATAGAAGATTGCATTATTCACTTTATGAATTTTTTAATAAGAACTTTTGTTTTTGAAGAGATTATTCTCTTCTCTATCCCTTGTTTCTTGAATCCTTTGGTTGAGCTGACAGATCCCAAGCGAGGATTCGAACGAATCCCTTGGTTGAGCTGCTTATCGTTGTTTCCACTCAATCATATTTTTTTTGGATAAAATGTTAATTATATTACCAAAAGGAACTTAAGGTTTACAAAGTTTGATTAAAATTTTCATATGGCCCAAAAGAAGATAAAAAAACCATAAGAAATAAGATAGTTACAAGCAATTAGCATTAAGTAACTTCAATGATGAGAGAACCATTGGGAGAGAAGTCCCCTCCCCTGTTTTCGATAGCGGTGAGCCAGCAGATAGTTCTTTGTTGTTCTGTCAATCTGACTAAAGACTATCTCCGGAGAAGAAAACGTACCACCATGTATGTGTAGGTTACGTTCTTTCCACAGCAAATAGATGGTTTTATGAGTTACCATTTTCTTAAGGGTGGAGGAGAGGTTTCTAGTGATTCCAAGAAGCCAACTAATCAGAATATGCCATTCCATAAAGATGATGTTAGGAATGCCTGACCGGCTAAGGACCAGATTCCAAACCTGTTGGGAGAAGGAACAATGTAAAAAGAGATGGTCTCTTGTTTCATGTCCATCCGAGCATAAACCACATTCTGTGCTAACATTTAAACCCCATCCGTTTAGCCTTGTTCTAACCAGTAGTCTGTCTAAGTTAGTAACCCAGAACATTCTGACGAGGGTCTGAGCATATTCCAAGAGTATGAGTCTGGTCCCAAAGAAGCATTTGGAAGAGGCAAAGAGCTAAGAGCATTGCGTACCATGAGAAGCAAGGGGTTTCTAGTCCTCGAAGAAGGGAGTTTCCAACCGTTTGTACCAGCTCCTTGAATCACTGTGGCCTCTATTAGAATACCTATTAGTCTTGGCCCTTCAATTTCAACGACCCTAAATCCCTACCAGAGTATGTTTCTAGCCAAACACACACCCAATAAACAATCTCTTCTTCTTTTTTACATTATCCAAGAGCGACTTGCTTAGACAGGTGCCGGTTTATTGGTCACGATATGAACAACTTACATATGATATGGAAACGAAATAGCAAAAAAATGGTAAAATCTTTTTTCTTTTGATTGATAGCCTATGGAATTGGCAGAGAAGTGAGCTTTTATGGATTGTTGAAAGCATAAATCACGTTTACTTATAATCACAAGTCAAAGGAAAAACCATTCCCTGAGAACCTCGAATGTATTTAAGGTACTGAGCTTCCAAAGCCTACAAATCTCCAAGCAGAAGATCATCAACTAATTGAATGCGGAATTTGCTATTTGTACGTTCTACCCACCATTGATTTCTCAAACCTAAAAAAACACAATGCTCGCAGCAAAATATATTGAAATTTTGTAAGTTGTAAAGAAGCAAAAAAATAAAATATATATTTACATTTCCGGTTTCTTACAATTTGAAATTTTGCATTGTTAACGATTAAATTTATGTAATTTTACCATCAAAAACTCTTTGATTAAAATGACTAAAAGCCAATGACATGATCCCGCGTTCAAATTATATTGACACAATTATGTAATTTTAAAACTCAAAACTCTTTATTAAAAATCTAGAATAAAAAATATTCGATAAAAAGTAAATATTTACAAAATAAGTTAAAAATACTCATTGGAAAAAAAAAACAAAAATTTGAATGCTAAAACTTCCATTAGATTTTGTGTTGACAAAACAAACTAGGCACCTCTAATGATCAAAGACTAAAAAGTCAATGACAGGATCCCACGTTCGAATCACTTTCACAATTATGTAGTTTTAACATTCAAAATCCTTTATTGAAAATCTAGAAATAAAAAAATATTCGATAAAAGTTAAATATTTACAAAATAAGTTAAAAATACTCATTGGAAAAAAAAACAAAAATTTGAATGCTAAAACTTCCATTAGATTGTGTTGACAAAACAAACTTGACACCTCTAATGATCAAAGACTAAAAAGTCAATGACAGGATCCCACGATCGAATCACTTTCACAATTATGTAATTTCAACACTTAAATTTCTTCTTGAAAAAAAAATTTCTATGTAAATTAATTTGAAAATTAAAACATCTTTAAAATCGAAAATCAATTTGCCATAAAAAAAAATGAGAGCATGAAACTATATTTAATTAATTGAACTGAAAGGAAAAAAAAAAGTTTTACAAATGCGGACTAAGAATTAAATAGAGCGTTTTATATTCTAATGTCTAAAGAGAAAAAGCGTTATAAAACCAATTGGGCCTAATAAAACATGACTAAACAAATATAAACTAACGACAAACAAAACTACGAGATGCTGATTTCTTTTCAAACAAACAAATACAGTGTGGCCCAAAATAAGAATTTAACAAAACCCTAAAATAAAACAATGTGAAACTAATAACCGAACAAAAGCAAAGAAAAAGAAGATCTAGATCGTACCCGAAAACAGATAGCTTGGGGAATAAGCAACCACGAAGATAATAACTTCATACTTCTAGACTTCACCGTTTTCCTAATTTGTCAGCGACAAGTAGTAGTTTTTTTTTATAGATACACACAATTCTCAGACAATACATGAAATTGAAACAAAGAACAGTATCAAAGACGGATTCTTTT